CAGATAAATTTGATTCTGGTAGACAAAAGAACAGTGGTTGCCTTTGGGAGGGTGGAGTGGGGACAAGGATTGACTAGAAAGGGCCAAAGGGGAATTTTCTGATAACATTTTATATTTTGATAGCACTGTATGCATTTTGCAACACTACGAGATGCACACTTAAGATTTATGCACTTCATTGTATGCTAATTTTACATAAAAAATGTGGTAAGCACATACTGAGCTCTAGTTAATGGTATGTATGCTGCAGTTATTAGTAGGAAAAGTGAAGATGCCTGCAACTGGATGAATTGATGGATGGATATGTGATAATGCAAGCAGAGTTAATGCTAACTAGCATCCAGGTGATTGATACACTGTAAAATTTTAACTTTTTAAATACGTTTTAAAATTTTTATAAAATGTTGGAAGAAAAATTCCAGGGTGCAACACTTACCAAATAATGCCACTGAGAATTACATTATTGATCTCATGGCAAGATAATTATCAAATTCTTCTGATTAGTATCAATTTAGAAACTTAAGAGCTTGTGAGAAGATATTCCTGAGTGTGAGGTGACCAATCAGCTCTCAAATCTATACTGGCTCAAAACTGTCAGTTACATTTTGATCCCCTCACACCTTTAAAAAATACACAGATTGATCATATATTTTCAACAAATTTGTTGGCTGTGTAGACTAATGTAAGAGCTAAGATGAAGAAACCTTCTTAAGAGAAACATCAAGCACAGAAATTTTTACCTGACTTCTAAAGAACTACGGCAACTATAATAAAAGATGTGTAGACCCAAAACACGAGGTGAGGTTTGATCATACTGCACAGGCCCCTATGTTCTGAGTGGAAGGACATCTGAATTATCCTGTCTCTCCAAGGAGGGACTCATTTGGGGGCAACCTAAAGTGATGGCATGTTACTTGTAAATACTTCTAAGGTGACTCCTTGAGATTCACCAAGACTGGCTTCAGACTTCAATCGTCCTTTGTCAGTTTTCCACATGGCTGACTTAAAATCCATTAACAACACTGTGCTTATTATTTAGTGGCTGGTAACTATCTTCAGTTATTTGCTAAGAATTTCTATATAACTATATAGGGATTATATATATATATATATATATATGTATATATATATATATAGCACCTCATAAGGGTTCTCTAAAAAATAATCTTTAAAAATTTTACTCATTGCTTTCAAAATATTTAGTCACAGTTCTGGCTTTCCTTTGATCTCTAAGTGCTTCATGTTCTAGTACAGGCTCTGCTTTTCTTGAAGCACATAGATTAGTGTTGTAAAGTTTTCAAGTTTGCTTTAAAACACTGCAGTCATTTAGGATCATATCTACAAACCTTTTTCAGTCTTAAAACATTCCCCTGTATTTATGCTATTTCACAGAGCATCCCTAGTTCTAGCAGTCTATTACAGAACAGTCTTTGTTATTATCACTGCTCAAGTTTATCAAGATTGCTCTTCTCTAACCATAACAGTACTAATGGTAGTCTCAAGTCATGCTTGTTAATTATTAGGATACTTTTAACAGCTTTGTGCTTTTGTTGTTTCTACCAGCTGGTGCTGACTCTCTGAGATCCACTCTGAGTATGACTTTTACTTACTTATTTATTAATGGCACTGTGTCATGTCCTGTCACCCTCAAAGTAGAAGATACTCCTCACTTGTCTTCCATCTCGCTGGTCTATCATCCTGCCATAAAAGAGTTAACCTGTCAGATTTAAAAGTCTTATTTACTAATGAGCTCACCGACTCCACCCTTAGTATTTCCAGTATGTAATTCTGAATGTACGGGAAATGGAGCTCAGAGAGGTGAGCACAGTGCCATTTCCCCCATGACCCTATGCTCGTCATCTGAGACAAGAGTGACATTAAAGAATGTTCTATTTTCTATTCTGAAAAGATAATTATAATAATTCCTTCCACTTTGGATAATATTGTAGTTTTCAACACGTTCTTAAATATGATTGTATTTACAAACCCAGAGAAGTTTAGTCATTTTTTACAAAGGTCAGTAAATGGCAAAGCCAGATTTTGAGTCAGATATTCAAACTCCAAACTCTTTCCATTATATTCACTACAGTTCTTACTTTGGCTTTTTTATGATCTTTATTATGCTTGCCATTATTTATGCTTCTTAGCTAAACCTAGACATTTCTATAGCATACACTGAAGACACATAATGTTAGATGTTAAATCAATACTTAATTTTGCCTCATCGAGGTATTTGTTGCCCTCCATACCAGAAGTATATTTTCCACTTCCAACTGAAGCTGTTTATTTTCAGAACTGAAAGTTACCACTGATAAGTTTACTAATTAGGTAACTGGTCAGGTATATTCTAGCCTATCTTCTTAATTCTAGGGAATTTTTCCTTTGGGGGTTTAACCAAAGATATCTCAACCACGTAACTCTTGTCACTGATGATATTTACTGATGTTAGTTTCCCATACCATTTTCAATAAGTTCAAGATGTGGAGGACTTCAGCAACCACAGCATGTTTAGTTCTTAGGAACCACAGTTTTTTACTATGGTCCTGTGAGGATGGGAAGAGTACACAGCAATATCCAATCTCTCTGGCAAGGAACTTAAATGTAGTAGAGAATTCTGAGTTCTTCCTCCAACTGTAGGCCCTACAGTGAGTTATGTTCAGCTAATCTCACAATAATGCCATTGGTTACAACAGGTTTACAACAGAGAGTATGGTTTGCTCAGCACTATCAGAATGTAATCATCATGTTCACCTTAAAGAGTATGCCACCAACAATAACAACAAACTAAACAGCACACCCCATATTTCAACTGACAGGTAATGAAACAACACATTAATACTAGTTAACACTCAGGAGCGCTAGCCAATTTAAATGCCTACAGAGTGAGAGTAGTATCCAAACTTCTACACAGTAATGAAGCCTAGACCTGCCATCAACATCCTGGCTGGCGGACTGAGCAGTTTCATCACCATTATCAGTGAGTCATCCTAGCAGAATAAGGTGGACAACAATGAGGATTGGAATGAAGTTAATTTTATCTGAAATAAAGTTACCATCTTTGCATCTTAACTCTGCTGGGCCAGACGTGTGAACAGACGTCAAAACTGTTATATACTGAGCTTAAAAAGGAACAAATATACAGTAAGAAGGCAAGAGGAAAAAAAAATCCCCCAAACAAGAACGAAATAAAAAACAAAATAAAACTAGCCCAATTAACACTTCAAGAATTCCCTGAGATGAGCTAAAGTAATGCAGAAAGTTGTGGCATATACCAATAATGGCAGATAGAAATGATGGTTCTTTTTCCATTTGTGGGCCAACATTAATTCATGATGTACAAAGAACTCATGCTTTCAAACAGACTGCAGTCACTTCCTTCACATGTACTCTAAGTAAACTCTAATGCTATGAAAAAAAAACACATTAGGGCATTGTTGGGTTTTCAGTCATCACTGTATGTATACATACAGATATACATATTTAAAAGTAGCAGCGAATTTACAAATGAAGAGCAACAGTATTCTGTCAAAAGCATATTCAGTTTCATCTGAAATCCTCAAATTACAAATAACATTTCCAGATGATGCCTTATTTTACTCTTGCTGTAGGCTGGATAGCTTAAGGCATATTAAAAATTAACTCACTGGACAATAAGTAGTCAAGCTGATAAAACTAAGAGTCCCATTACTTACAGTGCAGTTCCTTTCTAGCAAAGTCTTAATAAAAACATTCTTACTATTCTGAAATTCAAAATAGATATTGAGTGTAGCTAAATATCTATATTACCTAATATGTAAGTATCTAAAATACCAAATGACTTCCTTATGAGTAGATTAATTGATGAGTCAGTCATAATTTTAGGAAATATATTTAAAACACACTTCAGACTAAAAAACAGGGAATTATTACTAATGCCTACAACAGACCATTCACATACAGAGGAAGTGAGCAACTATGAGCAAAAGGCTGGGAACAGGAGAGTCCCACAAGATCCCTTCCCTCAACAGAGATTATAATGTAGCAGGCAGAGACATCAATACACAATTGTAGCATGTGGTTAGCACCATTATGAAAACTGAAATGAAGAATCACAAAAGTTCACACTCAGAAGTCCTAAAAGACTGAGAAGATATCAAATATAGAAGGAATTTCCAGAATGTTCTCAGAAGCAGTGGCAGCATAAGAACAATGGGAGCAATCAGGTATTGCTCCCAGATTTTCTGGCATGTTTGACTAGAAAAAAATTAACCAAAATTGCTCAGAGAGAAGAAAAGTGAAAAATAGGATGACTTCAACTAGGCTGTAATGTTAAGTAGGTAGTTGAAAGTATGGGTCTGAAATTTCGGACCAGATATGGAACACAATACACTGGGATAAAATAGAAACCCCAAGGATGAGATCCCTCCAGAAGCATTCTGAAGACAGAATCTGAGAGCGCATTTTAGTAGATATACTTTAATCAAGAGTTATGTGACTGCACTCAACAGTTATGGCAGAGGATGACATCTTCAAGGGACAAGACACCGTCTAGGAAAGGTTGCTCAATGGTGTAAATGTTGCAGAGACAGAGAAAGATAAGGAATGCATACCAAAAGAAACAATTCATCAATTCAGTAACTGAGAGTCCACTGAGAAGAGTTTCACTGAAGTGGCTGTGTAAAACCAGATTGCAAGGTGGTGAACAGTGAGCAATGAGGATGCAGGGGGAATGGATATGGATTTCTCCAAGAGGTCTGACAGTGAAGAAGGCTGGAGAAACCAGCAAGTTCAGCAGAAGTTTTTTGCATTGGAGGATACATGAACATTTTTGTGGACATGAGAAAGGAACCAGCATACAATTCTTTGCATAATTTTGTATTGATCACAGACTAAAAAATTTTTAATTTTTTTTAAAAACATTTTCTGAAATAAAAAAAAATATGTACTTTACCATTTAAACTTAATATAAACTTAAAAGCATTAACATTTTATAAATTTTATTTCTAAAAGAGTTGTACAATTTTTATTAGACTGCTTCAGAATTTTGCTTCTAGTCTATCATGAGAAATTAAATTTTATTAATATTTGCTATTTTCATTCCAGAAAGATTCCTCTGATATAAAGGATTACACTTAAGTAATTATGTATGCCTTCTTCCCCAACCCTCCTCCCCAAAGACAAAATATCTTCAGGGTAGTTAATAATTTGGATATTTTTCAACTTGAAGAAGAGAACAATTAGAAATAGTATTCCATTATTTTTAAGTTAAGATCTAAATTGTTCTTCACAATTATTTTTCATAATTAAACATGCTTATTACATACACATGCTTACATATGAATTTCCTGGCTAAAACACATGCAACCAACATGAAAAAACAAATATTAAACCATCCTCACAATCCTAAGAATGCCCTTTGAAATAAGGCACTCATGTCTGGAAATAGGATATAACCACCATATTAAATAAGATGTTTAAAAGAAGCCTTTTATTAAGCACAAACAACTTTTAATACATTATCAATACAAATAGGAAAATGTCTTTTAATGAATATATCAAAGATCTGAAGGTTTTCTTCATACTGACACAATAAAAATAATCAATTTTGAAGAATTACAAAGTAAATTTTTTGAGTACACCACTGTCTACTAATAACAATTTAACTATAGTCTACATTTACCACATCACCTGGGGAGGAAGGTCAACCATTTTTTATATAGAGAATTCCTAAACTCTTATTAGCACCATTCAAAGCTTATTATCAGTTGTTCATCTACAAATTGACAGGTCAGGTAAAGCTTTAAAGCAAGTTTTCAGTGCAATGTTTACAGTTCCTTCTTTTAAGATACTTGGAGTCTATGGTCTCAAAGCAAGTTAAATAATGATGCCTTGGTAGTTGCAAGGTGTTAACATGTGGAAAGAAATGTAAAATGGAAAAAAATGAGGCTTATCCTGGCTGTGAAATGTATCTTAATGTATTGCGGCTAATGCTGTAGTATGCCAACGACATGCAGGGGGGATTATGAACTGCAGATTTGTGGGAAGCTGGTAGCTATTAGCTCTCTGTGGTCATCATTTCGGGATGTCTCAGCTGCTGCCTTTTGAGACTAACCAGTTTCATCCTGTCTCTGATGTGTTCTGCAGTGGAAGCCATGTCACTTGGACTCCCAAAATATTGTTCAGTTCTAAAAATCGAAACAAACAGAAAAACCATAATCAGATTAAGAGAAATCCACTGACCACAGCAAATGCAAAAGGGAGCAAAGATTACCATAAATATTATATACATGATATGGCATTAGTTCACTTGCAGACCATACTGCTTATCTTTGAGTAGTACTTCAGTGGGAGAAACATTTTTAAATGGCATAAAATATATTAAGACATGTTGAGAGAAAAACATTAGTGGTATTAAATGTCGTATCATATGTACTTATGATAATCTCAACAGATCAAAAATGCAACCAAACAATGAAATAATAAAGGAAACAATGCAACATTGGAGATACTCTGCTTTTCAGTTCTGGGTGCATAAGCATACACAAATATAAAATTTGTATGTGTTCTTCAAGGATAAGGGCTATGTACACCAAATGTCTAATATAGCTGCCAAGTAAAATATCTGATTAATGTTAAGGCATCATTTGGAACTTTAACAGATAAAATCATTTAATGTTATCCTACTTGAAAAGATACTGTATTCAGAGTCACAGAACCTTTTAGAGCTAGAAGAGTTCTTAAAATTATCTGGTTAAGCTCTGTATTTTTTAAGATCAGAAAACTAAGGCCTAGAAAATTAAATGACTTAACTAGGATCACACAGTGGGAAAACCAACATTTGAACCAGTGTCTTCAAGCAATGAATCCAGAGAGATCAGATAATTTCTTTTATTTTTCCAGGACAATATTACATAAGATAAATCTGAATAAGCTTGCTGTCAAACTTTATATAGCATCAACAGGTTATCATATAAATGGAACAGAATAACAATTCCAAAAATTAAAGGTGGTGGTTGTGAAATCTGAATATACAGTACTAACTTATTCCTCAATCTTAAAAACATGAGGAAATGCTATATGGACTATTTGTAGAACACAGGAGGAGAACTCCCAGTAAAAATACTTGTTATAGATGCTCCTAGGCTGACCTGAGTAGAATGGAGATGGTGTTAACAACTGGTTATGAAGCACAGAAATGGGGGTGGGGACTCCCTAGAATGGAACAACCAGAAGGCACCCCTCTTATATTGTTACAAGCCAAATTTATAAATTTTTAGATTTTATTCTTTTATACACTGCAGATATCTAATATGAATTTAGGCTACTTCTGATAGTTCAATTCTGGCTATGACCAAAGATTATCTAAATGCAGACTATGAATTATATTCTTTCAAGGGAATAAAACTGTATCTTCCCAAAATCAATTCCAAATAATCATTTGAGGTTCATGACATAGTAGTAGTGGCACTTATTATGTGTCAGATTGGGGTTTTTTTTGTTGTTTTTTCTTTTTTTTAAGATTTTATTTATTATAGAGAGAGAGTACAAGTGGGAGGAGGGGCAGTGAGAGAATCTCGAGCAGGCTCTGCGCCCAGCACAGAGCCAGACTTTGGGCTGGATCCCACAACCCCGGAGATCATGACCTGAGCCGAAACGAAGAGTATGACACTCAACCAACTGAGCCACCCAGGCACCCCTGTGCCAGATTCGTTTTAAGTAATTTATATACATTTAGCTCATGTAATTCCCCTGCCCCTGTAACCTGAAAAGGTATGAATAATATGTCCCTATTTTTAGATGATGGAATTGAGGCACAAAAAGGCTGAGTGGCTTGCCCAAGGTGTTACAGCTAGTAAGTGGTGGAGTTGAGATTTAAACCCAAGAAATCTGATTCCAGAGTCCACAATCCTATCCATTACACTATACTACAGAGTAAGGATAGATGCATCCAATGATTGGTTTCTCTGTCATCTGAATTAAATATCCTCTGGATTACCTCTAAATTATTTTCACTGAGATTGAGATCCTCAGGGATGAAGCTCCTTCAGATTCATTTACTGGACCATTTATTTGCATGAGATTACTTCTTATTTTATTATTAACTTTTGAAATGGAAAGGAATGTGGGAATCAGGACCCCATCATTTTACAAATGAAGGAATTCAGACCCCATATAGCATAGAGAAAAGAGAATGCGTTCAGAGTTGGACCAACCTGAGACTGTATCCCAATTCTACTTAGAAGCTGTGAAATCCTGAGCACCTCACTTAATCTTTCTGAGCTTCAGGTTTCTACATCTGTAAATCAGGAATAATCATACTGGTCTAGCACTGTTTGGTCAAAAATAATGAGGTGAAGTGTTTAACTTGATGTCTGATATATTATAAGCTCACTAAACATTACACCCCAGCACTCCCCTTCCATGCCCCGGATGAAGCCCAGAGGCATCCTACTTCCTACCATCAGAGCCAAGGCTAGAACCCAGGATATCAACCTTCTACAACAAGCTGTCAAGAAGCACCATATTTGACAGCAGCAAGTACCAACTGCTACTGTTGCTAAGAGCTCAGTTTGTATTTCTTTTCATTACAAACCAATTTATTGTGGAACTGAAGATGTGAACCAAAGCTAATTTACTTGGCTTTTTAAAAAATATTTTCCTCTCTTGATGATTTCACTTTAAGACCTCACCAATAAAAAGACAAAATTATAAGAACATGTACCATACCCATCAGGATAAACTACAGGAACAGTTAATCTATCCAAAAGTGATTTCCCAACCGCTTCAATTTCATCAAATTGCTCCTCATCATTAATAGCTTCAGGCTCTTCTGGACAGTCTTGCAAAATCTGCAACAAATAAAATGGCAACATCAATCAAGAGATATAGAAAGGCAATCAAGTTCATGTGAATTCAGTAGATTAAAGGTATTTTTGTTTTGTTCTTAGCATCTCCATGTACACCATTGTACAAGACTGATTACTGGTGAAGTTGGCTCAAAAAACTCAAATAAAATGAAATACATAATCCTTACTAATAATATATAATTGGAGTACAAAAAGTCTATAGTGATTTCCAAGAAAAAAATAATACTAGACTACTATTCAGAAAGTAAGTTCAAACTGTGCTTAAGAAATATTCCTTCATTCATTATTTATTGTACTAAATGTTTATTTAGCAGCTTCGGATGTGACTGAGATACAGAATTTGACTTCAAACAGCTTACAGCTGTCAAAAATGAAAGAAAATATAAATCCAAAACAACACATACTCAGAGTACAAACACATAACTGATGGGATGACCTATATAGGCACTTTACAGTTATTTTAAAAACTGATCTGCTGACTTACCTGATGTAAACTGATAAGGTTATAATTCAAATACAGGAAGTTCTACAGTCCTTGATAAAATACTATTTTCCTTAACTATTACCATTTAAATTTAACAAGGGGAGGAGAGGAAGAAAGAAACTGCTATAATTCATAATAGCTATAAGTCTATAGGTATTGACCCACACTAGTCAATATAGTAGCAAGCCTAGTGAACACTTGAAAGGTGGCTAGTCCAAATTGAGATGTGCTATAAGTCCAAGATACACACTAGATTATAAGAAAAAAACTGCAAAATGTGGGGAAGGGAGAAGAAAAAGAAGTATTTATTTTTGCAACTATTTTTGCATTATACTTAATCTAATGTTTATTTCAGCATTACTCATAAATAACTATATAAAATTCTAGATTCAACTTAAATATTTTCCCAGTCATTATACTCTATAAGTTGCTTATAGTTATTATGATTATGCTTACCGGTATAAAACAAAACGCAATGAAGAAGAAAATAGTATCTGATAACAAAAAGCTTTACAAACGTTTGAGTAGTAAAGAACCTTAAATTGTGCTAATTATAAGCATGACAAAGGCCATGTAGCAGAAGAAAAAGGAACATTAATATTCTATGCAAAAAGGGGGCCTGGGTGGCTCAGTCGTTAAGCGTCTGCCTTCGGCTCAGGTCGTGGGATCGAGCCCCACATTGGGCTCCCCGCTCAGCGGGAAACCTGCTTCTCCCTCTCCCACTGCCCCTGCTTGTGTTCCCTCTCTCGCTGTCTCTCTGTCAAATAAATAAAATCTTTAAAAAAAAAAAAATTCTATGCAAAAAAACTCTCAACCATTTACATTCTTATATGGCCTCATAAAAAAGTCTAGATCTTAAAATCTCCTTGCAGATACATTTTAAGTTTTTACTTAAATTCCAGTTAACATACAGTTTAATTAGTTTCAGGTGTACAATACAGTGATTCATCACTGACATAGGCTCACAACAAGTGCCCTCCTTAATCCCATCACCTTTTAACCCATCGCCCACTCACCTCCCCTCTGATAACATCTCTGTTCTCTATAGTTAAGTCTGTTTCTTGGTTTGCCTCTCTTTTTCCCCTTTGCTCATTTGTTTTGTTTCTTAAATTCCACATGAGTAAAATCATATGGTATTTATCTTTCTCTGACTTATTTCACTTAGCATAATACCTTCTAGTTCCATACATGTGGTGGCCAAATGGCAAGATTTCATTTTTTTATAGCTGAATAATATTCCATTGTGTATATACCGCACATTTTTCTTCATCTATTCATCTATGGATGGACACTTGGGCTGCTTCCATAACTTGGGTTACTGTAGATAATGCTGTTATCAACATCAGGGTACATACGTCACTTTGAATTAGTATTTTTGTGTTCTTTGGATAAATCCCTTATAGTGGGATTGCTGGATTTAAGGGTAGTTCTATTTTTAACTTTTTGAGGAAACTCCATACTGTTTTCCGGAGTGGCCTTACATATACATTTTGAAAGCAGTATCTTAAAAAGTTATCAGTAGTGTTAGAAACTGGGCCAGTAGTCACCCTTGGACAGGAGGCAGGGGCAGCAGGAACAATGTGATTCAAAGAGGGTGGCAGAACTTCTGGGGTGCTGGTGATGTTCCGTTGTTCAAATAGTGCGCTGATTTCACAGGCATGCTCACGTTGTGAAAATTCATTGAAAAGACCGAATTCAACAAACATTTATGATCTGTACACTTTTCTGTGTTAATATACTTCAATAAAAACTTTCCATTAAAACAATCAGTAGGGGCACCCGGGTGGCTCAGTCAGTTAAGCATCTGCCTTCGGCTCAGGTCATGATCCCAGGGTCCTGGGATTGAGCCCCGAGTCGGGCTCCCTGCTCAGTGGGGAGTCTGCCTCTGCCCCTCCCCCTGCTTATGCATGCTCTCTCTCTAATAAATAAATAAAATCTTTTAAAAAAAATGAAACAATCAGTAGATAAGCAAGTTTAAACCATTTTATATGCTTTCACCTTCATCATTGTTATGCCTATTTTAAACCAACCAAAACACTGACCTATGGAGTTCAGTGACCAGCTCAGCAAGAGTTAACTATAAACACTTTCCAACAGAAGTACATTAGAACACTGCCCAATTCCTGAGATTCCTGGTCACATCTCTTCTGTTCTACAGACTAGGCTATATCACATTTACATCTTCAATTTCTCACATTTCATATTGTATTGAACATCCCCTACACAGAAACTTCCATTCTGAGAGATCAACACAAAGCTAACTACATAACAAAGCTCCTCTTCAGAGTGGAAATGTAAGGATTGGGTGCTATAAATTTTCCCTGTGCAGGGTTAAGAAAAGGGCTCTACTGAAAATTTGCCCAAATAACCCTACATACTACATTTTTGGTTTCCGGGACTAATTAATTCATTAAATAAATTCTAGAATAAATCTTTAAAGATAACACATGAAAAAAAGGTTTTATTTTCATCTTTATTCTCATTATTTTTAGCTGGGTAGTCTCTACTTTAAACCTTATAAAATTACAAAGTGCCCTTTTAAAAAATTTATGACAATTAGTTGCAGAAGCAAAATGTCCTTTCCTTGCATAATGGAAGTGATGGGAGTTGTGACACCCTAAAGATAGCTCATTCTGGGGGTCAGGTTTGGTAATAAGAGAAGCCCTATTGAGAGACAACTCTTAGATGATTTTAGATTTCTCCAACCATAGTAAGCCAGCACTGGTATGGATTATACTACCCGAGAATTTGATCTGAACTCTCTAAGACAATATATGATATCTAAACAAACTTTAAACAATGGGATTAATATAAGTTGGAAAAAAACACAGGCTAATCACATAATTATAATCTTAAAATTAATACATTTTAAACATACACAATAAATACTACTGAGACTACACTTTTAAAAAAGCGAACCTTTTCAGCATTTGAGTGAAATGCAATAGCCATTTCCAGCCTATGCACTCTCTCTTCAGATGCTATTGTAAATTGTTTCCATACTCTGTTCAGTCGAGGAAGTGTGTCTCCAGATGACCGAGATGTGCAGCGCAGAGACTGACACAACACAACTGTGGCCTGTAGCAACTGTCTTCCATAGTCATAAGTGCTCTAAAAAAAAAAGTAAACATGAAATTATAGTAAAAGAATTCTGAAAAGAGAGACGGGAAAGTGTGCAGGAAGGATTGTGATTGCAAATAAGTAACACTACTGGAAATCAATACTGAATGACTCCACTGGCACTTACTACTACAAATTAACTGCTGGCATAAAAAAGGATGGGGAAGCAATACTTTGAATTTTTTCTTTCTTATTAGGCTTTGCTCTCTTCTTTTTTTCCCCATCTCATTCTTGTCAATTTCACAGGCCAAAAAGAATCTCTGATCATTCATTAGCCAAAACAAATGGGTGAAGATGGGCTCTTTATAGGTCACTTTTTATCCCATACAGGAAACCACAATTGTTCACTGAGAACTCAATTATTAGGGAAAATAAATTATGATACTTTTCACACACACACAAAATCTGTACTGTTAAACTAACACTGGTGAGATACACAAACTGGGGTTTCTACTATACTGATATTAACATAATTCTTATTAACTTTCGTGAATTAACAGTTGGATTGCCTAAAAAATGGCATAATATAAAACATAAATTAGAGGGAGCATACAGAACCTGTATTCAGGGAAACATAAACCCTCTCAAGTTTATGCAGGCTACTTTGATGCACCAGCTGACATTTTCTTAGTTCTGTGATATTTCTGGAATAACATAACTAACCTTCTTGGACTTGGAGGGTTAAGTTACATTATAATCATGCAGAAAGCTATTCAAACACTGAGCTTGTAGAAAAGGAAGATAACCAGTTCTGCACCTGTGCAACATCAACAAATTTTCTATGCTTTTCCAGTAAAACTTTCGTTTCCTGAGCATCATCACCCAATCTGATGTGGGTCTTAAGCAGGGCATCCAGAAGTTCACTTAGCCATTCTACTGCCTAAATAAAAATAGAGAACAGTGAAGCTGGATCCATAACTCTTCTTATATCAAAACACCATATTTATAAAAAGAAAAATTACTACCATATGATTAATCTATTAGTTATAACCTAAGTTCTTAATAGCTTATTTCATTTAATGAAAGCTATATGAATTAATGACTTTTCCTCCCCCTCAAAATTTTTAAGATCTAAGGACAAGATATATTAAAGAGGACTTTTTTAAAATTAATAGCACATGATTTATATTAATAGATCAAGTATTCTCCTTAATGTCCAAGCACTGAGTATTATAGAAAATCACTGAAATCTACCTCTGAAACTAATAATACACTATATGTTAATTAACTGAATTTAAATAAAAAAAAAGATCATGTGTTTATATAATATGGATCTTAGTGGAATCTAATTACAGATTTATGTTACTATTTAAAATCATAAAGTTCCTCTAGGTCAAGCTGAAATGATGTTCTCTGATGCTAACTACACAAAGACAGCATATGGCTCATCTAGTTGAAAAACCCTCTTGCAAGTTAAAAAAGCAATGTGCTATACCAGCCTTAATCCTAGCATGTATAATATATGTAATGTAAATAATAAATAATCCCAATTTCTCATTCAACAGAGGATTTCATTGAGAAGGTAAGTCAAATGAGACCAGTAAAATAACTGGAAGTAAAAAAACACTTTATTATTTTAATAAGGTAACCTAGAATTTGACTTAATCCATTTACTTTCTAAGAACCATGAAAAGTACACTTTTTTTTTTTTACAGTTAGGTGAAATCAATCTTTTAAGAGAAGACAACTACATCATGTGCCTGATTGATCTTTTACCTGGGCAGCATCTTCTTCACATTTAAACAACTGTACCATCTGAAGCATCTTTAACCTTCGCACATCTACCATGTCTTCACATCTAATAAACCCAAACATAAAGGTAGAACATCATTTCAGTTTCATTAATAACTATTTTAACATCATCTGGCACACATGTTTTGTAGTATATTAAAATACTTAATCCTATATACCATGGAGACTTCAACTACTTTGTATTGATTTGTAAGAATTTTAAGGATATCTATGTTACATCAAAATACTTCAAAACTTCAAAATACCTGAAAGACACCTAACTACAAACCCTCTTGAGGACAGAATGGATTCTGGGAAATACTGAAGCAAAGCATGAAGTAGTACACTAAAACCCAAAGAAATCTCTGTTGCCAGTTAGCATTAAACAAGCTTCGAAGATAAACATACAAAGTTTCTCAAATACTCATTTTGAGGATGATGCTCCAAGGAAATAAAACAAAAAAAGTTATGAGGAAGGATACTATATAATTAAAGGGTCTATCCAACAAGAAGATCTAACAATCCTAAGTATTTATGCTCCTAATTTGGGAGAAGCCAATTATATAAACCAATAACAAAATTAAAGAAACACATAGATAATAATACAATAATAGCAGGGGATTTCAACAGTCCACTCACTGCAATGGACAGATCATCTAAACAGAAGATCAACAAGGAAACAAGGGCTTTGAATGACACACTGGACCAGATGGACTTAAAAGATATATTCAGAGCATTCCATCCTAAAGCAACAGAATATACATTCTTCTCGAGTGCACATGGAACATTCCCCAGAACAGATCACATACTGGGTCACCAATCAGGTCTCAAATGGTACCAAGACTGGGGTTATTCCCTGCATATTTTCAGACCACAATGCTTTGAAACTTGAACTTAGTTACAAGAGGAAATTTAGAAAGAACTCAAATACATGGAGGTTAAAAAGCATTCTATTAAAGAATGAATGTGTCAATCAGGAAATTAAAGAATTCAAAAAATTCATGGAAACAAATGAAAATAAAAACACAACTGTTTAAAACCTTTGGAATGCAGCAAAGGTGGTCCTGAGAGAGAAATATATAGTAATACAAGCCTTTCTCAAGAAACAAGAAAGGACTCAAATATACAACCTAACTTTATACCTAAAGAGCTAGAGAAAGAACAGCAAATAAAACCTAAACCCAACAGGAGAAGAGACTTATCAAAAAGAAAAAAGACCCAAATGAATAAAATCATGAATGAAAGAAGAGAGACCACACCAACACCAAAGAAATACAATTATAAGAACATATATGCCAACAAATTAGGAAATCTCGAAGAAATGGATGCATTCCTAGAAACGTATAATAAACTACCAAAACTGAAACAGGAAGAAATAGAAAACCTGAACACACCCATAACCAGCAAGGAAATTGAAGCAGTAATCAAAAATCTCCCAACAAACAAGAGTCCAGAGCTGGATGGCTTTCCAGGGGAATTCTACCAAACATTTAAAGAAGAATGCCTATTCTTCTGAAGCTATTTCAAAAAATAGAAATGGAAGGAAAACTTCCAAACTCTTTCTATGAGGCCAGCATTACCTTGATCCCCAAACCAAAGACCCCACCGAAAAGGAGAATTACAGACTAATATCCCTGATGAACATGGATGCCAAAATTCTCACCAAGATACCAGCCAGTAGGATCCAAATGTACATTAAAAGGATCATTCCGGGGCACCTGGGTGGCTCAGTCAGTTAAGCGTCTGCCTTTGGCTCAGATCATGATCCCAAGGTCCTGGGATTGAGCCCCTCATTGGGCTCCCTGCTCAGTGGGGAGTCTACCTCTCCCTCTCCATCTGCCTATCCCCCAGCTCATGCTCACTTGCTCTCTCTCAAAAATAAATAAATAAAATCTTTTAAAAAAATTAAAATAAAAGGATCATTCACCACAACCAAGTGGGATTTATTCCTGAGCTGCAAGGGTGGCTCAACATCCACAATCAATCAACGTGATACAATACATTAATAAAAAAAAAGGATAAGAACCAGATGATCCTCTCAATAGATGCAGAAAAAGCATTTGACAGAGTACAGCATCCTTTCTTGATTAAAACTCTTCACAGTGTAGGGATAGAGGGAACACACTTCAATATTATAAAAGCCATATATGAAAAACCCATAGTGAATATCACCCTAAATGGGAAAAAACTGAGAGCTTTTCCCCTAAGGTCAGGAACACAGCTGGGATGTCCGCTCTCACCACTGTTGTTCAACACAGTACTAGAAGTCCTAGCCTCAGCAATCAGACAACAAAAAGAAATAAAAGGCATCCAAACTGGCAAAGAAGAAGTCAAACTCTCACTTTTTTTTTTTTAAAGATTTTATTTATTTATTTGACAGAGAGAGACATAGCAAGAGCAGGAACACAAGCAGGGGGAGTGGGAGAGGGAGAAGCAGGCTTCCTGCTGAGCAGGGAGCCTGATGTGGGACTCGATCCCAGGACCCTGGGATCACGACCTGAGCCGAAGGCAGACACTTAACGACTGAGCCACCCAGGCGCCCTCAAACTCTCACTCTTTGCAGATGACAGATACTCTATGTGGAAAACCTAAAAGACTCCACCCCCAAATTGCTAGAACTCATATAGGAATTCAGCAAAGTGGCAGGATATAAAACCAATGCACAGAAATCAGCTGCATTTCTATATACTAACAATGAGACAGAAGAAAGAGAAAATAAGGAGTCAATCCCATTTACAATTGCACCAAAAACCATAAGACACCCAGGAATAAACCTAACCAAAGAGGCAAAGGGTCTGTTTCTCTTGAAAGAAACTGAGGAAGACACAAAGAAATGGAAAAACATCCCATGTTCATAGATTGTAAGAACAGATTGTTAAAATGTCTATGCTACCTAGAGCAATCTATACATTCAAAGCAATCCCTATCAAAATACCATCAACATTTTTCACAGAGCTGGAACAAATAATCCTAAAATTTGTATGGAACAGAAAAGACCCCAAACAGCCAAAGGGTGTTGAAGAACACCAAAGGTGGTGGCATCACAATTCCAGACTTCAACCTCTATTAGTATAAATAGTATGAGTGTAGATTAGACCTTCAAATGACTTAGCTGTCAGAAAGGAGAATTCTAGGGCTAGAAGACAGAGGGTTGAAGAGGAAAGTATATGCATGTGTGTAATTTTTTTTTAAATGAGAGACTTAAGCATTTAAATGAGAGGCAGAGATCAGAGTAGAGAATGAGAGTAGACAGGGAAGACATGAGGGTAAACTTGGCTTATTAAGAACAGAGCTATAGCATCCTTTGTGATTAGAATAAAATAATGAAATGGGTTAAGTTTGCATGTGAGGCTGAAGGAATTTCTGCCTAATGAGTATTTTCTCTGTGACGTAGAGATAGTTTGTGAGGTTTTGTTGATACCTTAAAATTCCTAAGTGTGCAAAAATTTCATACAACCATGCTACATTGTATATACTTTCATATATTAATTTAATCCTTTACTTTGTAATGCTCTCTCAGTTGCTACTGCAAATTGAATTTTCAAAGAATCCTTTAAATTCCTGCCTCTATACAAAATAAAACTAAATAGCCTCTTACCCAGAGTCTATTGTCTAATCCTTTCAGAGCAAAGATGAGTACAAAGAATGTGTGACAATTTGTGAGTCAGAAGTTTAGATGAAGAAACTGATCTATGTAGATGACACATTTAATAGCAACTCTAAACCAAATGAAAATGGAAAGGCAAAATTCTCCAAAAAGGAGAAAAAGCGTTTTCTTAAAAGATGAAAGAGTCATAGGCTATACTGGAGACATGGAATGCAAAGTACTTGGGTGCAACTGAAATTTTACCACTGAATTAAAATTAAAAAGGGGAGAAGTATTAGTTGAACAAATTGTCATTATTTGTTAGTACAATTATATACAATAATTACATTCACCAAAACCTACTACATGCCTACTATATTAACAGGTTACAACTTCTATTTTGTATGGAAAACAAATTATATCACTTCTCATTTTATTATGTTACTTTAGCAAAAATTAACATTAACAGTCAAACTTTGCCTTTGTTTCCTAAGCTGCATATCTTCCATCACTCCTTGTATGTGGTCCACATTTTCTTTATTTTCAATGGTTACATCCTTTCCATAGGCCCAGGATGCCTGATTGGAGATCTGATCCAGAAGTCCTTGACCTTTTTCACGCAAACCTTGTAATCCTACATCTAAAACAAAAGTTCCTAGATTTAATCTCTAAAACAAAGGAGGTGCTTTCCCTCCCTCAAGTAAATCCTCTCAGCAGATATTGTACTTGGATTCCAAGCATCACAGCTTTGTACATTAAACTATCTTGGGATGGGGTTCTCTGAACACTTCAAGCAATAAACCCCTTTATATGTGGTTTAAATTGAGCTCCCTTCTCAAGCCAAATTCTGCCTAAAGAGAATTTCCAAAAGGTTAATTTCCATTGATGGTAATTATTTTTGAAAACTGAAAGCAGGAAGAAAGTGTGAAAATTTCTATTTTGGTTACTAATATTTTTCAATTTGTTTCCTTTGTGCTTTTATGTAGTCCAATTTTTAGAACAAGGCAAATATTTTGTTAAAAATAACGTATAAGAGTTACAAAACTTCAAAGCATTCAAGCAATGCATTATCACTGAAAAAGGATGCTGAATATTTTGATTCAGGCATCTTCCAGCTTACACCTAATGAAAAGCAATATTTAGGATAGATTTATAGTATTCCAAACCAGACAAGCACACAGGAATTCTTCTTTTCTTTTTTAAAGGAGAAGTATGGCTCTAGAAAACTTCTGATGCTTTGAAATAAATTGCATTTGGCAAATTAATTACAAGATACATATTATGCCTATGTGTTAAAATAACAAAGGCTGCTAACAAGTAAAATACCTATACAAACATGATTTTTCAAATTCCCTCAAATCCTTTTCAATAATTAATTAATCTGGTTCAATCACATGTCACCACTTTCTACTAAAACTGTCTTAGGTTTCTGCTTCCTCGCCTCCATTCCCCTTTGCCCTCCTATCCTACCCGGAACAACCCTCCATTCCCATTTGTACATCCACTATCTCCTCTCCAGTCATGACCTAAGGAAATTCACTGTATTTCCTTCCTACTGTAGTAAAATGTAAAAGGCCTTGGTGTCAAGTGAAATGGGATCATCCTCCCCTTGGGAGAGTAGGTAACCTTGGCAATATTCCCAATATGGAGAAACAAATGCACAGAACCAAACCGACTATTTATTCACAAGGTTAGGATATAGCAACAACAAAAATCATTGCATAAAACACAGTTTGGGGCATACAGGATTTATCACAGAACACTTCACAGCTAATTACACCTTATGCATGCACTACAAATAACTGTTCAGAGTATATGCAAGACATAGCACCTGTAGATATAGCTGGATGAAGAAGAAAGGCTAAAGGCCCAATGAAGGAAGGGTGACTGATCATCAATGAAAAATAAAAATTTTAGCACGTATTACACCCTTCAAGGGAATAAAACCTATTTTATACTAATTTTTCCTGTGTTTCCTATAAATAATTATAATTAGTTCAGTATAAGTTGACTTGTCTAACAGTAATGATATTTCTAAAAAAAGAACCCTTATGTTTCAGCATTTTTAAAATCTGCTTACCAACACTTTTCAGCTTCTCTTCAAGCAGTTTTAAAGTCTGCTGAATCGATGCTCCATCAGCTGGTGCTACATCTACGCACAACATCCCTAATAAGCCATCCAACTGCTGAGACAACTAAAGCAGAGGGACACCAAAGAGATAACCCTGATGTAATCAGCATCTAAAGTGTTTAATGATTAATGAGGTTTATATCTAATGAGGTTATCACAATTACACTTGAAAAAGACTATGCTGTTAAAAGACAAGGACTAATAATTAGAATACATGTTATCTGAAAAGACAGAACAAACAGATGCATGCACCAGGAAAACAAAGATTTACATCCAGGTCAGCAGAATATAAGAAAGTACTGAAACTTCCATTTCAATCTATGTTATAAAGCATAAACAGAGAAACAATCAAAATGAAATACATCTACTAGGTTGGAACACTATTTAGACAAAAAAGGTTTAGTTGCATGCAAAATGACTTAAAAATGAAAATTAAAAAAAAAATCAAAGACTTTTATCATCTCCCCACGAGTAAATTATTTTATTGTTCCAGAAAAATAATTAGGAGACATGCAAACCTGCAAAAATTATGTGCAGATAAGTGTTCAGATCATTTGAAGAACAGAAAAGCAATCAGAGTAGACACTTACATCTTGGGCAACACCATGAAATTCAAGAGCTGCTTGTAAGAGATTCTGCCTAAATTCCAGCTGACTGGCCTGTCGATAGCAAACATCACTAAGTTGTTGCTGCAGTGACTTCAGTTCTACAAGATCTTCCTCATCCCCAGCATTTAAGAGCGCTGCAATTTGCTGGTTAAGTTCCACATACACTGCAAACCATTCCTGTAACAGACATGTTGTAAATTAAGGATCAATTGGCTGAATTTTATAATTCCTCCAGATAAACTAAGTAACATATATGGTAATTTTGTAAGGCAAAATTACTTAGAAGTGAGGATGAGAAGTCCCCAACCCCCAAATCCTTGCACATGACCCCCAGAACTCACTCTTGTCAACGTCAATATCTATTGTGTATAGCTTCATCCTGGTCTCGAAATGTTTCCTTTCCTTTCTTGTTCTACCTGAAACCTGTCCGTCCTCAGAGAAAATTATTACCAGACCATTTCTTCTCCCTTTCTCTCAAGACCCACATCTCCTTTAAAGTGCATGCTGCCGGATGACATCCTTCCAAGCCTTTCCCATTAAGCACCCTCTTCCGGGGAGTTTGACAAAGGTCACGGCCCTCCTCTTTGGGCCAGCCTCCCCACCGACCCCCACCATGTACACACCCACACAGCACTCCTAACTCTGCCCGATTCCCTCTCTCACTTGCAACCATCCTGTCCCCACCCTATCTCAGCTACCTACTCCAACACACGTAAATTCTTGTCATAATCATGTATTACCATACAGCTCCCAAATCTTTAAGAATCTCATTCTCCAGCCCCCAGCGACTGACTCTCTCATTCACACCCTTTAGGACACTCACCACTCCTCCAACCCTATGAGACTGCCCAATCCACTGACCTGCTGCTTCACAGTGCAGCACTGAAGAGTCTCACGCCCTCACTTCTCTCTTTGGTCAGAGCTATAATCACCTCTGAGAGCACAACCCATGCTCATGCCCTGCTCTCTTCCTTCCATCCAATCCACCTATCAAGACCCCAGACCTAGTTTCTCTGCCTACTGTATACCTACACCAGAGAAGCAACATGGCTGGATAATAACAACGATGCAAACAGCTGTCTTTTTAAAGTTATAGTACATATAAATATATAGACTCTCTCCACATAAAAATATATAAAGTCTATATAAATAACCTCAAATAGGCCTTCAGCAATCCTATTACGTTTCTCTAGTCAATTCACTTTCCCACTCTCTCATGATTATTTGCTTTCTTCACTACTTAAATCTCCAACTCCCTTTCCCCCTCTTCATTCTCAGCCAAAAATCTAACTTAATTCAATAGGAAGCAATCAGAAGAGAACTCTCTCATCTTCTCACTGACAAATCTATGACCCTCCCTCTTTCTGCAGCCCTATGCTTTGCCCTCCCCACTAAAAGAGCAGATGAACTGTCCCCATTTCTCGGGCAGCCACGTCACGTGCGCTATCTCTGTGCTCTGTTGCCTACACAAGGCCTTGCCCTTGCACTTATCTTCTCCCTCGCATCATCAATTCATTCTTTTCAATTGGATTATTTCCACCAGCATACAAATAAGCTGCAGTATCTTATATTAAAAAACAAAATATACACTTAAGATGTGTATTTTATGTAATATATATTACTATATATAAATTAAACTTCAATTAAAAAAAAAGACTCAAGACCAAGACCATCCCTTAAAGGAGTACCCTATACAAATTCTATCTTCTATTCCCCATTCTCTTTTTAACCCATTCTAATCAGGATTTTGTCTTTCCTGCTCTTAGCAAATTCTCAGTCTTTACCTTATTTGGGCCTTTCAGTTGCGTTTCACAAAGGTAACCACTTCCTCCTTGAAATGCCTTTTTCTATTCTTCCCTCAAACAACAGCTCTGCTGGCCCTCCTTCTGCTTCTTGACCTCTAAATTTAGTAGGAGTGACCTGGTGCTCAGCTTTCCAAAGGCTCTTTTCTTCTGAATCAATACTCTTTGGGCTTGGATGAGTTCATCTAGTCTCATGCCTTTAAATAATATCTATATGCTGATAATTCCCACATTAATATCCTCACCTTGTCCCCTTCCCTGAACCCAACAGTAATACCCAAGTGTCTACTCACTATCTCCACTTGGATGAGTATGAGACATCTAAAATTTAACCTGTCCCCAAAGCTACTAATTCTGTAGCTCCCAAGCTGCTTCTCTCCCAGTCTTCCCCAACTTAAGAGTGGCTAAAGCCAAACACCTGATTTTTCCAAGAGTGAGTCTTCCTGGCTCAACCTCAGGAATCTGACAACTTCTCATTACATCTACTGCCTTCATTCTATTAGTCTCCTGTCTTCCTGTTTTGCTGTTTGTCCCTAGTCCTTATTTTCCATATGGTAGCCAGAGACCTTTTAAAAACATAAATCAGTGCTCTGCTCAAAAATCCCTCCAATGATTTCATGTAACATTTAAAATAAATGTCAAGGGGTGCCTGGGTGGCTCAGTCAGTTAAGCATCTGCCTTCAGCTCAGGTCATGATCCCAGGGTCCTGGGATCGAGCCCCACGTTGGGTTCCCTGCTCATCGGGGAGTCTGCTTCTTCCCTCTGCCTGCCGCTCCCCCCAGCAGCTTGTGCTCTGTCTCTCCCTCTGACAAATAAAATTTTTAAAAAAAAAATAAATGTCAACTCCCTTTTGTGGGCTAAATGGACATGATTTGGCCCCTGACTCCCTCAGAAACATTGTTTTGTGTGACTCCTTACCTTGCTCACTGCACTGCAACACCACCAACATACCTGCTGTTCCTTTACAATGGCAAGTAAGCTCCAACCTGCAGTGTTTTTACTTCTGTGTCCTCAATCTCAGCTGCCTTTTGCTTGAATTACTCCTTCATATCAAGGTTTCTGATTAAATGTGATCTCCTCAGAGAGGCCTTTCCTAAAAGCCTTGCCTTACCTGCTCTCCACTCCCTCTTTCCCAATATGAATTTAAGTTCCATATTATAAGACAGTGGTAATATCCCAAGAGCCTAGAACAACATGTGACATTTAGTAGGTGCTCAGTTAATATGTACTGAATGAACATATAAAACACTTTATGTCAGACATTGTAGATTAGCTGACATTAAATTAAGTAGGTAACAGGTACTGCTCTAAATGTGTTCTACTTTTGTGCCCTGTACCTAAAACTTGGGTTTCTTTAATTTGTCATATTGTTTTATTGCTTGAACTACTATGAAATCTCTGAATATTATTATACAGACAATGTAGTCAGATGCAGAGAAAAGAACAATGGATTTGAAAGACGAACTCAAGGTCTTTTCTCCTTACAAAGGGTGTCATCTTCATTAAGTGACTTATCTCTCAGAACCTGTTTCTTTATAGCAGTTATTTTCAATTGGGGGCTATTTTGCTTCAGAGGGAACATTTTGCAACATCCAGAGACATTTTTGGCTGTCACAACTGGGAGGGCACAATGCTGATGCATCTAGTGGGCAGAGGCCAGTGATGCAGCTAAATTACCCTATAATGCACAGGACAGCCCTTACACCAAAGATCTATCTGGCCCAAAGCATCATAGGGCCAAGATTGAGAAACCCTGTTCTGTACAACAGTAATGATATTATCTGTCTTATCTATCTTATTGGTTATTGTATAAATTAATCACATAATACTATCTGTAAAATACTTTTGAAACCACAGAGTGATTATAAAGGTTAATGGAGATGGGTTTAAAGCAGAAAATACAACTTGAGAAAAATATCACAGTAGTGTTCTAAAATAGAAAGGGATTTCACAGTCTTCCCAAAGTACTTGTAAATTCAGTTAATGCTCTAAACAAATAGATCCGATTCTTTGAAGAAGTAACAGTCATGATTCAGAGAAAAATAGCAGACTAAAGGATTAGCATCCTGGGTCACTATGTTTTACAGTGAGGACTATCTATATCATATTACCAGGGGTGCTTACTAAAAATACCTAAGCTCCACCCCTGATCTACTAAATCAGGGTCTGTGGGCATATGGCTCTGCAACAGGCAGTTTAACAATCACTTCAGGTGACTCCTAGGACCACTAAGGTTTAAGAACAACCATCCTAGAGTTGATTTTTTTCTAATCTGAACCTATCTGTAAAATAAAGGCCCTAGTAACCAGGACAAGGATGCAAACAATTTAAGAACTAGTATTTTTCTTGAAATTAACACTTTAAATTAAAGAAACTCACATGAGGAACTGAGGTTGTCCTAAAGAAATAATCAGTCTCCCTGAGATATCAGGGAAAAAAAATCTGGCATGCACAGAGACACACACACACACACTCTCTCTCTCTTCAAATTAATCAAAATGTTTCTTCCTAGGAAATAGGAGAATATAAAATTTATAGAACCTTAGGCGAACAGGCTGCATTCAGTTCAGTTTTGGCCATCCTGTGACCTACCTATTTTAGAACACTACTGTGATATTTTTCTCAAGTTGTATTTTCTGCTTTAAACCCATCTCCATTAACCTTTATAATCACTCTGTGGTTTCAAAAGTATTTTACAGATAGTATGTGATTAATTTATACAATAACCAATAAGACAGATAAGACAGATAATATCATTACTGTTGTACAGAACAGGGTTTCTCAATCTTGGCCCTATGATGCTTTGGGCCAGATAGATCTTTGGTGTAAGGGCTGTCCTGTGCATTATAGGGTAATTTAGCTGCATCACTGGCCTCTGCCCACTAGATGCATCAGCATTGTGCCCTCCCAGTTGTGACAGCCAAAAATGAACATTTAACTGCACAGAAAAAAAAAATCAATTCCAAGACATGTAATTTAGAATTAGATGGTAGGTAAGATGAGCTTGAATGCTCACATACTAGGACAGAGGTAGTCATCAGGATTGACACTGGAATCATGCGGGAACTGGTGGTGATGCACAGCTGGTGAAGTAATGGGTATTTATGCTTAAACCAAGAAACAGGAATCCCAATCTAGGAGGAAAGAAACACTGCCAGCTCACTTAATTAAGTCTAGTATGTCCAATGAGATAGGTGATCATTCTTCATGTACGTCTGTTTCGCTGCTTACTACTGGGCACAACATAACAGTGTTCACTTTGAAGACCAAAAGTCAACATTGTGAGATCGGAGATACGAATGGAATCCTAAAGCTTCAGAGATTTATACTCCTGCACATTCCTATGATGTGTTTTTCCTAATAACACCTACCTCA